AGAGGCAAGGGTGTGCGACTCTTAGCGCGCGTTCATTGGCGTATTTGGGTAGGAGAAGACGGAGAGGTCTCGATCAGCTTAAGTGATGACTTCTCAACAACACATGTGTGAATAGGAAAGAGAGGTCATCGCACTCGGCCGAATCACCTATCCTGAGCCTCTGAAGTAGAGAAAATGGACCTCGGAAACTTCGCCGGAGATATCGGCTTCTTCAACAGTGGAATAATTATACTCATGTCACTATGCACAATTTGAATGTTACCGCGCTTTGCTAACAATCCGAAAGTTCGATTTGTGTTCCGTGTTGTAGACGGATCTATGATCGCTTCAAGTTACCACTGAATTCGGTACTTGCAATAGAGTTTTGTGTATACTGGAAGTAAGGATTGTTGTAAATTCGTGATCGCAGGGAGGCCAAAAGTGATAGGTCGAATAGGAAATGCGAGTATTGACAACAACAACAACAACAACAACAACCCCACCCTCTCTTTCTCTCTCTCTCAAGGTATTCTCCGACTATAACATCGACTTTCCTCATAGCAAAAGACCATAAGCTGGCATACAAAGTTGACTGAGCGAAGAAAGTACGATTTCCAGTGTCTGGCGTCATTCTTGCAGTGCACGAGTTTCGTAGAATTCCTCGGGGCTGTTTTAATTGACCGCCTTAGCATGGTGCGTACCCAAATTGGACACTCCAATCATCGTTAGTGTAAGCTTCACCAGAAGACCACCAGTAGTGCTTATCGGTGTCGGTGCATTCGTGATAGATCACTTGTACACCATCAGCAATTTCACCGAATGAACTAAGCTCCTTCTCTTCCAGAGCCTGAAATTCGTCAGTAAAACGCTACTGCCTTCGTTATACAGGAGTAAGGAATAAGTCTGGTGAAGAACCCACATCATTGCACCACCAAGTCGCGCTCTTCCAAGCACAGCTAACGCGGCCACATTCTCTCGGGCCAGCAGAGTTCTTCGGTTTCCCTTGAACCTTCCTGAGATAGTCCATGGTCGTCTCATACATGTCGGTGTGGCCCTCCTCCAAGGTCTGGCAATCGACCCTGGGAAATTTGGCACGTTTCTCCACGTCACTACGAGCAACATTCGAAATTGCTTCAAGGTCAAAGCCATTCATCTGGGCCATCTGAGGGTTAAGACTACCGAGGGTAGCATAGACCTCTTGGATTGTACCCTTGATGGTGATGTTCCCTCCTTCTGGAGTCTGAAACTCCCATTCGGGAATGTACAGCCCGTAGCCCTTGGGGACATCCGCGGGAATAATAGCCTGACCACTTAGCTCTTGTTTCGAAAGACTGGGTCTGGTTCAAGCTTACTGCAACAACCATCGTGGCTGATGGCATCAAATAAAGAAGGCTGGCGCGCATGGTGGGCGTTGCTGTGCAGGTTAGGTTTGGTTAAAGCTTGGATGTGCTGGCTTGGACCTTGGGATGATATCAAACTATCTCATACGAAGGAAGAGCCCTCGCTACTTATAAACCCTAAGATGAACATGAAGCCAGAGATCACATTTCGGCAGTCAAAACTCGTATCGAGTATTGCTTGACTCCTTTGAAGGACGCAATCGCGACCACCCATGCATGATTGCCTAATGGCTCCAGCTGCTGCATGAATCCAATCCTACATCGAGATCACACTACTCAAAAGAGGAAAGGTAATCAATTGATCTTCATGGCTGGGTGATGTCGTCATCTCACTCTACGGGAAGTTGAGCAAACATATCCAACAGACAATCGGTAGACCGTGCAGCACTCTCGAGACTTGATCTCGCGATGGGCATCATTAACACGAGGATTTCCGCCATGTATACTTCTTTCCACGGCTCAAGAAAAAGGAAGCTTGGGAATCTGATCCCCATAAGCTTCCCTACATGTTCCGGGGATATATGCCCCCTTAACGATTGATCTCACAGGCCCCCTCAGCAGCTATGAGGCAGCCTCTTTGCAACCAATGCTTCCAAGACATCTATGAGGTATCCCAGAAAGTCATAAAGAAGATAAAGAAACAAAATAATTCCATCTCTGCAGAGGCATTTGAAAAGTTCAGGAGATTCAAATGTTCGGACTTACGCGTCTAGCACCACCATCCCACAGCATCCGTCAAGATACTCTACTCGTGCTTATGTTCGGATGTCACCACTTCATTTGTCAAGCTGCAGATATCTCAAGGAGCAAGCATACTGTTTTGTTTGTTGATTTGCCGATGTTAGCAAACGTTGTCAGTTACAGTGAAGAGCACGGTGGCGTGGACTCCAAGTAAGCGAGACAAACGTCATGTTACACCAGCCCAATGCCATGATCCCCTCGAAATTACAGGCTTCAAAAGCATTTACTAGCAAACATCCACGACCTGCTAATGGAGTTCGAGAGATTGAAGAAAGCTTGAGAGCTGTTTGCGATCCTGTAGCTGAAACATTTGTACATCACATGAGGAAGCATATGCATGGTTCAAATGTGATGGCTGAAAACTGGACTGGAATACTTCAAGTGGTGGCAAACGTAATTTTAGTTGCAGCCTGGTGATGGCTGGTTCAATCTATAGCTTCCGATCTATAATTACGAAGGCCGTCGCTTTTTCCGTGAGTTCTCAAAAAATCCTCATGAATATACTCATCTGAGCCTATCTCCAAGGGTCAAATGTGAGCATTTCAGTGACACTTACGTGACTGTCCACTCTTGGGCTGTGTGTCTCTGTTTTTGCTTTTTGAACAGTAGGCGTATTGAACACTAGGTGGACATGGCTCCGCTCGCCGCATGCGATGAGGATTGCCAAATGAAGCAGGTGCCTTCTTCTGATCCTGTCTAATAGCTCCGTATTATGTCACAGACTCTGCCCCTGCGTGCATTAGTTTGACGCCTCAATGCATGGAACCCGGCGGTGTTTGCTTAACTTTGGACAAATGGTTTCTTCATCGATAAGCTTTCAATGGCTTGCGGAAGACATTGGTCACGCTATTGTCCGAACCCATGCATGCTGTAGGCGTGATTCCAATCAAACTTTGACATAAATGGTCATCAAAGCACATACAAGTTTGCAGCGTTGCCTGCCAACCATGTAACGTTCTGGGGTAGCCGTTCGAGGTCTGTGTGTATCAAAAGGATGCCGCAGATACTAGGTCGAAGATCCTGGATATGTCTCTGGGATACTCTGTGATGACTTACCTCAGAAGATACGTGTAGGCAGTTATACCCCATCAAAAACATAATTGAGTGTAAATTTACTTGCAAATGCTGAGCTTTTTCACAAACACAGGGACTAGAATAATCTGGAAAACAGAATTGAACTCTACGATGAATATCAGAAAACGTTTACTCGTCCGGTAATGGACCTTGACTTTGTGGCAGTACGTTGCTTTTATTTGCTTAAGTTTTCTCTCGTTGCTCTTTGGACTATTAATAACCTAAGATGCCAGTTCAACAGGGCGACTATCTCCCTCGACCTCGGCAGCTCTGCTATGCGACGAGAGCTCTACCGGAGATGGCCTTATTGTATACATCTCTTGAGAGTCTCGATCATGATTCGGTGGCTTCGTTTTCGAGTCATAGCCTTCCCTTACGAAAGAGTGCCCTCCCCTCCCATCGGCAGTCTCTCTCTGTAGCAGCCGGGCTCCCCGTTCTTGCTTTCTCTTTTTAAGACATATAAACCAGCTACAACCAATGAGAGCCATGAGAAAAACCACAATTCCAACTACAATACCAGCAATGGCTCCTCTAGATAATCCGGTCTCTCTAGCGCCTTCAACCTGACGAGACTGAATTTTGCCGTGAAGTGGAAATACAGGATGATTGATAATGATTGGCCCCCCTCTGGGTAGGTTTGAAAGGGAGACTTTCGTCCAAGATGTCGTAATGGTGCTTTCACTTTCTCTCGTAGTTACAACGTTGTTGATCCACACTTCAGTCGGAGTACTCAGGAGGCTTGTACATTCCCGGTGAGGGATGCCACCATTCGAAGCACTGAGACAGCCCCAGCCAGAGGGGCAGCACCAAGTCTGTGCATGCGTGTTTCCACTTGTCTCCGTGACGTCTGTGGAACACGCAGTTGTCCACCCGCTGATGCACGCAGTGCCTGGGTAAGCCAAACTTGGGATATCACCTTGATTCGAAAATCGTTAGTACGTGTACACCTTTCAAGACTGACTTTTTACTTGTGGTAGTCTATGTAGCATGGCTCAAGGGTGTCCTACTAAACTCATTGAAAGGTCTCCAGATGTTTATGTAACTCTCCGGAAAGCATTGTGTTGGTACCGATGTTGTTGTCTCCCCCACAAATTGTAGACCATAACAAGTGAAGCCAGATGTAATGTCTCCACTCTTGGCCTCTACGCACCGGATAGCTCGAGGTAGTATGGAACAGGTAGGATCTCTCGGTGTGAAGGGTGTCGTTTGTGGCTGCAAGGTATACACGGTGGAAAGCTGGTAGCCACCTGTGGAGTAGAAATGGGTTTCCACCAATGGAGTATAAAGCGTGGACGTGACTGCCATGTCTTTCTTGGAAGCGAGTTGTCAGAACAAAGGTAACATGATTTCCAGAGGCGATTTCTCGTGATACGAAGAGAACGTGAAATGGAAACGTGAACTATACCCTTGAACGGGCATCGGGGTTAAATGGGTTCATTGCTTTAGTTTTTTAGGACTCAGCGATCGGGATGTCACACTGCAGTGCGGCCAGCGGGAAAATAATAATACGTTGTCAGCCACATCTGATTGGCAATGGGCTCGTATCGATATCATTCGGAACGAAAATGAGGTTTTCTAGTTGCATGAGGTGGTAGCAGGTAACACCACACAATCATCACGGGGATCCGCACACTTAGAAATGGAAGTTTATCTCAGCTGAACAGCAAAGTAGTCGGAAACATGCTTGAAATATTTAGACCGGCGACACGGGATATAGGGACACGTTGGGTTTCAAAAACGCCCAAAGGCTTCGGATTATCCAGGCTTATTTGAAAAGTCATACAAGTGTAATGAAGCGACAGTAGACTAGGCCTTGTACCGAAAGCTTCGCCCGGTAAGCCTCTTGATTCCACCTGCCACAGACGGATGCAATCTCTCCTCTCTATCAAGCCTCCTATTATGCATCTCGATGTAAAGCCAAGTTGTCGAAAGAATGGCAAATGCAATAACAACTAGGATCATGCTGATTGTCATCCCGTTCTTGTAATATGGGCCGTCGCTCGTTTTAAAGATCCAGGCTGAGATGTAGCCTGATGTGTTCCCAACTCCAACCACAAACCCGCTCCCGATGGCTCGCTGGAAAGGCGTCTGCAAGTTTTGCATAGTCAAGATCCATATCATGGGAAGAGTGATGAAGGTGCCGGAGGCGATGAAGTACAGCGCCATCATGGTCACATTTGTGCTTTCGTGTTCGTCTTGCCTCAAGATTGCGTAGCCAATGATGGTGAAAATGAAGCCGCCAAGGCCGAAGGCTGCGCGGTGGTTGAGACGGTCAGCTGCGTAAGCAGTTGTCAGACATGCCACAGCAGCCACCACGAAGATGGGAACAATTTGCGCCTGTACATCTGCAGCGCTGAGCTCTGGGTGAAAGGATTTGACAAAAGACGGAGAAAATATGGAGACTGAGTAAGCGGTTGTAGTCGTGAAGCAGTAAAGGGCAGCCCAGCAGTAATTCAGGGGGTTCGTGAAAAACATTTTCCACTCTGCTACAACACCGATCTCTGTGCTGCGTATTTCGACCGAGTTTTTGATAAGTCGCTTTTCTTCTTCCGTCAAGAACTTGGCCTTCTCCGGAGGTCCAACATTAGCAGGCAGGCAGGCCAGAGAAGCCACCACAGTGAAGATGCCCTCAATAATGAAGATCCTGCGAGATGTTAGAGCCGTTTAGAAACATATTGCGGTGGTTGGAATCATACCATCTCCACCCTTTGAAATTTTCAGTGGTTTGGATGTTGGCGATTGCGTATGCAAGAAAGTTCCCGGCAATGTTTGAACAGATATTGGCGACAGTGATCAGACCAAGTCTCCATTGAAGATGCCTTGGAGGATAATAAAGAGAACAGAGGAAGACGCAGCCAGGGATA